CACACCAGAGATATAGGACGCCTGTAGTACTCACACCAGAGATATAGGACGCCTGTAGTACTCACACCAGAGATATAGGACGCCTGTAGTACTCACACCAGAGATATAGGACGCCTGTAGTACTCACACCAGAGATATAGGACGCCTGTAGTACTCACACCAGAGATATAGGACGCCTGTAGTACTCACACCAGACTTCAGAGATATAGGACTCCTGTAGTACTCACACCAGACTTCAGAGATATAGGATGCCTGCAGTACTCACACCAGAGATATAGGACGCCTGTAGTACTCACACCAGAGACTCCAGTCTTGTGACCATTGTTTTACTTCCAGTGTTGCAGGAAAAACTTCCTGTATATTTAATGTTTGACCAGCTATAGCTACCAGCCCCTAATTAAGTTTTTGTGAAGAATTTCCCAGCTGCATTTTACTACTAGCTTATCTTCCCCTAGATTGAGAACTAAGTGATCAAAATAATTAGAGTTTTTTGATAATTAAACATTCTAGAGAAAGGGTCCAGTAGTATTAATGTACTAAGTAATGTCATGAAATCTTAGATACATGTATGTTTGTGAGGTAGAACCAAGGCGTGTCAACATGCCGCTGTTCCTGGTACGCGACTCTAGATCTGCTTATCAGGTATATGAAAACAAAAAAAAATATAAGATTTTTTGTTTACTAACAAGGACCAGTGTTTACTAACAAGGGCCAGTGTTAAGAAATAAACTTCCTGATTCAAATTAAGTAAAATTCACGGGCGACCATTTTGAATATAAGCGTACAGAATATTTCATATAGAGTGATTTATATAATAATGTTACCAGATGTCGATCAGATTCAAATACATATATATATATATAAAGTCATTGGCTGTAAGTAAGTTCATTTACAAACATTCAAATTACCACGTTTATGGTAAATTTGAATTCTAATCTGATGCCTTATCTGAACATAAATTTTGATAAAATTTTCATTTCTAAGCATACAAAAGACAATCGTTTACTACAATAGATATATATATATACGACTACCTCGTACTTACTTTTATCAGTCTACATCTGGTACATCAGTTGAACAGAACTTCTGAACTAATGTGATCCATATTTACTTTATTAAATCAGTAAATTGGCAATGGATTTTTTTTAATCATTGGCATTATTTACTGTATAAATGCATATAATATGCAGTTTTCTTGTTTAACTTTGGTAACTCATAAATGGCCAGCACTAAAAATAAGGCTTTTAGTTACAGTCTACATGAACATGTTATAGTCTGTATCCTTTAAGTAGTTTATATGAAGTGACTTTGAGAATGAAGTATTCTTAACATATTTATGATTAAATTTAAACAGATCAAGCCAATGGTGAATGTATTTGAGATAAGTTCAAGATGTTTCAATTTTTGTCAAGAACTTTTCTCAAGTTTTGGTTACTACAAAACAGTGAACCCATATATAAATTAGGATATGGAATGCACTTGATTCTTGATATTTTTCCTTGATTTTATCTTTTTTTTTTTTTTTCCTTATTCAAGGTCACTTTTGACATTGTTTAACTTAATCTTTGAAAATCTAGAATACATTTCATACATTATGAAGAAAATAAAAAAAAGATTTACAACAGGAAGCTGATCTCTATGTATAGAAGGAGAGAGAAAAATGTGCACCAGGCGTAGTCTTATAACCGGTAACGTTATATGTAATACTGCAACAAAGTCTGGTTGAGATTGACATAGCAGTTCTAAAGAAAAGGTTTCAAATATTTAGACAATAACACTGGCTGGATGTTCTGACCAGAAAATGATAGCCCTTACCACCAAGGCCAATAAATGCTCCAAGGTCATTCTTCTGAACAAATAAATTATGATCAATCAAGAGCCATATCATTGATTGGATGACCATATTGTATTTTAAATCCACCCGGAATATGACATTAGACTAGGTCATACCAGGGTCTTCAAACTATGCAGGAAATTATTTATGCTGTCAGTATTTGATAAAATTCTGTTTGGTGGTTCATGAAAAAATAGCATAGAATATCAGTCAATCAGAAGCCAAAATTTAAAGGGGATCAACAAACTTAGATTTAATTCAAATGCAAAAATTATTTTACAACAATATGACACAAGCTTTCCTGACTTATATTTTCAAGTCTTGTTAAACTGGATGGAAGAATGAAGGTTATGTGAGGAAACCAGAGAAAACTTGTGTTTGGCAACATAAGAATCTTCCCCCTCGGGTTTAGATTTCCGTATCTCACCCCCAAGGGGGTGAGAGATTAGATATTAATCGCAAAAATCTTTAACTGATTAATTGTTCTGTGATCATGGTTACAAAACAAACACAGGAAGCAGCTTCCTGCAGAGAATTGTAGTAGAATGACTGCATTACATTTGACAGTGCTAATTTTATACCCCAACAACACTTCGATCAATCCATAAACGGATCATCTCTACAAGCATAGTACATAAGACACCTGATCAAAGAATGTCAGTGACATGACATTAAGTTTAGCTGAGCTCATTCCCTTGTGAGATAAAAATAGAAAACTTCAGCCAAAGACAACAATGAAAAGTTCAAATTTACTGGTCAATTCCTGGTCAAATATAGGTGTCCTGTCTCCAAAATAGCAACATTGAAGCCAACAGCCATTCAGAATTCATGATACCGACCCAACTAGACAACCTTCAACAGTCCTTATTCTGACTACCACGTTTCCTGGCTGTCTGATACCAGACACATCCTATTGTTTATTGATACATATACCTACAGTATCAAATGACCATGCAAATATGATTTGGCCCGATATATTCCACCTCTCATCAAATGTAGAGTGTGTCACACGACTTATTCAGATATTAAAACTATACACATCCAGATACTACCTGATGTAAAGATGGGAAGAATTACACCCATCCATAAACTGGCGAAACAATAACTATAAAACACTAACATCTGTATTACTAACACCCGATCATGACTAGGTCTTAAAAATCAGGGCTCCCCAAATGCAATGTTTAAAGGTATGGACTGGTTGCTGATTAATCTGAGATGATATTAGGAATAAATTAAACGACTAATTAATTGGACCATCATTCAATTACAATTACATATGTCAATGTTTACTGACAATTACGATTAGATGTTTATTGAATCCAGAAATGTTTAAATTAACAACAAACTTGTCAACTCTCCCTTTTTTGGAGGGAGACTCCCAATATTTGACCCCAAAATTGAGCATTTTCAACCAGTGAAATTGCTAAACTATATCTATTTTCTAAGATCTGATAATTACATCTGAATGGAACAGCTCTAAAGATGCCATTAAAGGTGTTATTTTTTCCCTAGGATGTACATACACACAATTTATATTGATAAGTTTATTTCTGAGCACGCATAATATCTTCCCCATGAAAGTTTCAAAAAGTTGGCAAGCATGTAAAGATAATAGCTAAACAAGAAGTGATTGCATAAATCTTAATGCTAGATTTTGAAAACCGATCACAAGTTTCCATGTATGAAAGAAGTTTTACAAATTTGTTATGATGGAACTCTTTGGTACATATATCTTATACATAAGATAGATGGTCCTACCACTTCCTTTTGTTTACAGGTATTATAAAGATATTTTTCTGTTAAAATTATGTTATTTCCACTACATTGTATAATCAAAAGGACATTTATATTTACTGAATGGCAGCTTTTTTCACTGATCAAGTTAAAACATTTTGAAATTATTCCCAGCAATGATGTAGTAGTGTTGACAGAACAAATAAGGTCAGTATACTCAGTAGCCAAGTGAACAAGTCATTGCTTCATAGTCAAGACTGAATCTCTGTGGAAGACATTTTTGTGTAAAAAAAAAAAAGAATTTTTAATAAATAATTCTTTCATGTTATAACTCTTTGCTGCAGTAAAAAGCAAGTCAATTTAAGTTAGAATAATGCTGAACATATTGAAACTCTTCTAAGGTCTTTGTTGGACAAACAACACAGAAAGTAACTATATGTACTCTCAGGCCAACTTGATACCACTGTAACAATGACTAGGGTATAACAGCGGCTGGGCCTTTATATATATTGCTGTGGCTGGTCCAGTAGACGAAGGCTAATAAAAGGATACTCTAGCTGGAAACCTTCCAAATCTATCTCTTTGTGTAAATCATTTATTTTCAATTTTCTCTCCCTCATCCATCGTTCAATCAAACCCACCTGGATGACTAGGGAGTAGGGTTTTTTTTGTCATCCGTTATGTATATTTACCTCCATGGTAGTCATAATTTGATCCATTGTAACTTACGAGATGAACAAATTTTCTACTGTCAATTAGTAATACTGTCCAGTTAGGTGTTTAGTGTTTAGAAATATGGAATGTATACATGTACATCACGTAGTGAAGACATTTCCATAGGAAATGAATTAAGGGTCATCACTTACACTTAAGAGGTCATGTTCTATTTGTAGTGTAACTGACCTTAAATTCTATGTAAACATGTACTTAGGCTATTACTGACATGTGTTGTTAAGATTCCATATCAATAATGTTATTCTTATAGGAAACTGGTATGAAAAACCCATTTGACAAAGTTTAGCAACACCAGCAATTGGAAAATACTGATTAAATCACGGTGTCGTTCCAGGAATGGGAATATCACCTCAAACAGGTCGAGTAAATTGTATTGACACAACCTGTTATGGCACCTGACTCATGCCAAACATGTGCCGTCATCGACATTATCTGTTGTATATAAACACACGGTCATCGCGGGTTTGATGAATGACAGCTGTCAATCACCCCAAAAAATGTGTCAATTTCAATAATCAAACAGGCAATAATTCTACATTTCTCAGCCATGTCATTAGCTTCACTGTATCAGAATTTTCAACATTCATGCATCCATAATTCATGTAAGTTATTGGTAATTACGTATATAATATAAAACATTCTGTTCCTTGATCATAATAAATTCTCAGAAGATTCAGATAGTGTGACAACTTACCATCGTTGTTAGAAGCCATTTTCACATCATTTCTATCTGTTGAAATACGTCCTTTCATTCATTTCCATTTAACATCAATGTCTGATACTTCGGCAAACGCAAACGCCCGTCGACTGCACTTATATCGCGATATTAATACACAGGTTAGTTTAAACTTCCTTCCTCACTGACATATTGAATAACTACTTCCGGTCAAGTCACATGATCACTCGAAGAAAAAAATGTAATAGAGGTCACATGATCACAGGTGCTCCCTTCGAATCCTGCATGAGTTGTTTCCCTTCCTCCTCAGCAGACGCATATATTGGCGTAGAGGTGATATACGTTAGAAAAAGGTCGAAATTCATATTAAGTATCAAAATTGCATGCTCTGGGCTTTTCATATTTTTTCTCGACTCATACAAAATATAATAAGTCTGCTCTGTCCGTTTTAACGATGACGCATAAAATACATGTATAATTTGTATACATTTCAGTATAAGACGTCACAATGCAAAAACATTCAAGCACATATACGGTTTCTAATATAACCATGTATCATTTAACATGCTTCCAAATTTCTAAAAAATGGGAAAAAAAAGTCAAATATTTTCAATCAACCATTCAGAACCTAACATATTTTCCCGTTTATGCCATTCATAAAACGTAGCGTCATTCGAGGAATATTCCTTGATTGGTTTTTTCGTTTAAAACCTCTACAAATGAAGTTCATTCATCGCTGCCTCAGATTCTGTATTTTAACATAACGTGAATAAAAGGTGAAAATGTCGTCATGGCTACGAAAGGTTGAAGCAGGAATAATTATTATTTTTCGAAAACTACCAAAAATAAGAGACCCAAGGGCCTTAGCGGTCACCTGAGTTATATCATAGGTACTGGTAGCTTTATTTTATTGTTTAGATGTGATGTGGAAATCAGCATGTAAACTAAGTGAAATACAATACTTGCCATGTCATCAAAGAATAAGAATTTTAAAATATTGGTAAATGTTCCCTTTGGGGCCCCGTCCTAGCCCCTCGGGATGGGGCAGGAATTCCAATTTTGTAATACCCTCATCCACCAAAGATGATGCTCACCAAGTAAGAATATTTTTCTGCTGAAAATGGATAAAATATACCCAAAAGTGTTATTTCCTAATATATAAAATATAGTAAACTTTACCCCGTCCCCAATGGGGGACGGATTGCTCAGGGGTCCTGAAAATGACAATTTCAATAAAGCTTCTGATGATTTTTCTATCCATGCGCTGAAATTGACTGCAGTACCTCTGAGTCTGGAGAAGAAGATTTTTGAAATATTGGTTAATTTTCCCTTTGGGGCCCCACCCTGGCCCCTAGGGTCGGGGTAGGAATCCTAATTTTACAAATCAAAACCATCTTCCTCCAAGGATAATTCTCACCAAATTAGAATATTTTCCTACAGAAAATTGTAAAAAATAAAGCCCCTGATGATCTTTCCATCCATGCAGAGAAAATGACTGTAGCACCTCTAAGTCTGGGGTTGGTGTAGGAATCCCAATTTTACAATTTTGTAGCCTCATCTACCGAGGATGGTATTAATCTTGCTGAAACGTGAGGTACACACAAGTAAATTTGTGATCGCATACATATTACTCAGTATACAACATTCAAATATCTAAGGATAAATAACATAATACCACTGTATTGAAGAATTTTAGTAATAATAACAATGGATTTTATTCTAAAGTCCTCGTATTCATATGGAGAAAAGTCATAGTTGAAAATACCACCAAGAAGAACATGAAGTAGATGGTAATTAGACATTACATTAAGATAAAACACAAAATCTATATCTTTTACAGTACTGAGTACACACCAGAGCTGGTCACGTAATAGCTCTGTGTTTGAGCATTCCAGTACACTATGCATAATAGTATCTTTGTGTATAGATCCACAGTTATGACACAAATATATATTTTCATTATCGCGCATTTCAACACAAAGTTTAACAACTTTCTTAAAACATGGACTGTATTGTGGAAAGCTTAAAGCAAGTTTCCATATAGCATACGGTTGTATCTTATTATGTAAAAGAGTGAAGCGAGAGAAGTCCCTATCAGCGTTCATTCTTTTACATAAATTAAACTGTTCATAGTTTTTTTACATGGTCATTGACTAAACGCTTTCATTGACATTTGTTTAGAAATACACTTCTTCAAAAATTCATCAATAACATGATACAAATTGTATTTTTGTAAAATATTAACAATGTCGGGAACAAAACGTTTACTAAATTGAGACAGGTTGCATTCGAATTCGAATTCCCGTCGAATTCACATCAGATACGTTTACTTCCCCGTCTAAAAATATATATATAAAAAAAAAATGAAAATGACAAGCTCAGGTAAAGTTGATTTAAAATGACTAATGAAAGGAGGGGTAAAAGGGTCGGGGTATGTGTGTGTGTAAAATAAGTTTCAGTAACCAAACGTCAAAACAACATTCTTCGCCTCGTTTCGTGCGTCTATAAACATAGCATCAACCTCATTTGTATCAGGGTTTGAGAGAGAGAAAAATACTTAGTTAAATGTAATTTATTTCAGAGTCCATATATATAGAAAATAATAACCTAAGGACACAGAAAACGATGTTAAAACATACAATAGAG